AGACTGTTATGAGATCCTCTCAGTCTCCTTTTCTCAAGACAAAACGTACCCAGGTTTTTAAGTTTTCCTCATAGGCCAGGTTTTCTAAACCTTTTATCATTTTGTGTTGCTTTCCTTAGGACGCTCTCCAATTTATCCACATCTTTTCTAAACTGTGATGCCCAGGATTGTACACAGTTCTCCAGCTGAGGCCTCCACCATGCCAAGCATAGAAGAATCATAGAATCAGAGAAGATTAGGGTTGGAAGAGACCTCAGGGGTCATTGAGTCCAACCCCCTGCTCAAAGCAGGACCAACATCAACTAAATCATCCCAGCCAGGGCTTTGTCAAGCCGGGCCTTAAAAACCTCAAAGGATGGAGATTCCACCACCTCCCTAGGTAACCAATTCCAATGCTTCACCGCCTTCCTAGTGAAATAGTGTTTCCTACTACCCAACCTAGACCTCCCCCACTGCAACTTAAGACCATTGCTCCTTGTTCTGTCACCTGCCACCACTGAGAACAGCCTAGCTCCATCCTCTTTGGAACCTCCCCTTCAGGTAGTTGAAGGCTGCTATCAAATTCCCCCCCCCCCGCCCCCGTCTCTTCTACAGACTAAATAAGCCCAGTTCCCTCAGCCTCTCCTCGTAAGTCTTGTGCCCCAGCCTGCTAATAATTTTTGTTGCCCTCCGCTGGATTCTCTCCAATTTGTCCACATCCTTTCTGTAGTGGGGGGCCCAAAACTGGACGCAATACTCCAGATGTGGCCTCACCATTGCTGAATAGAGGGGAATAATCACTTCCCTGGATTTGTTGGCAATGCTCCTACTAATGCAGCCCAATATGCTGTTAGCCTTCTTGGCAAGAAGGGCAAACTGTTGACTTTTATCCAGATTCTCGTCCACTGTAATCCCCAGGTCCTTTTCTGCAGAATTGCTGCTTAGCAAGTTGGTCCCCAGCAGTGCATGGGATTCTTCCATGCTAAGTGCAGGACTCTGCACTTGTCCTTGTTGAACCTCATCAGATTTCTTTTGGCCCAATCCTCCAATTTATCTAGGTGACTCTGGACCCTATCCATACCCTCCAGTGTATCTACCTCTCTCCCCATCTTAGTGTCATCTGCAAACTTGCTGAGGGTGCAATCCATCCCATCATCCAGATCTTTAATGAAGATGTTGAACAAAACCGGCCCCCAGGACAGACCCCTTGATATCGGCTTGATACCAGCTGCCAATTAGACATCGAGCCGTTGATCACTACGCATTGAGCATGATGATCTAGCCAGCTTTCTATCCACCTTATATCGATACAACCGCATTTGCTCCAACCCCTCAGACAGAGACAAACACCTACAAGATCTCTGTCAAGCTTTCTTACAACTACAATACCCACCTGCAGAAGTAAAGAAACAGATTGATAGAGCCAGAAGAGTTCCCAGAAGTTACCTACTACAGGACAGGCCTAACAAAGAAAATAACAGAACGCCACTAGCGGTCACCTTCAGCCCCCAACTAAAACCCCTCCAACGCATTATTAAGGATCTACAACCTATCCTAAAGGATGACCCAACACTCTCACAAGTCTTGGGAGACAGGCCAGTCCTTGCCTACAGACAGCCCCGCAACCTGAAGCAAATACTCACCAACAACCACATACCACACAACAGAACCACTAACCCAGGAACTTATCCTTGCAACAAAGCCCGTTGCCAATTGTGCCCACATATCTATTCAGGGGACACCATCACAGGGCCTAATAACATCAGCCACACTATCAGAGGCTCCTTCACCTGCACATCTACCAATGTGATATATGCCATCATGTGCCAGCAATGCCCCTCTGCCATGTACATTGGTCAAACTGGACAGTCTCTACGTAAAAGAATAAATGGACACAAATCAGATGTCAAGAATTATAACATTCATAAACCAGTCGGAGAACACTTCAATCTCTCTGGTCACACAATCACAGACATGAAGGTCGCTATCTTAAAACAAAAAAACTTCAAATCCAGACTCCAGCGAGAAACTGCTGAATTGGAATTCATTTGCAAATTGGATACTATTAATTTAGGCTTAAATAGAGACTGGGAGTGGCTAAGTCATTATGCAAGGTAGCCTGTTTCCTCTTGTTTTTCTCCTCCCCCCCCCCCCCCCAGATGTTCTGGTTTAACTTGGATTTAAACTTGGAGAGTGGTCAGTTTAGATGAGCTATTACCAGCAGGAGAGTGAGTTTGTGTGTGTATGGGGGTGGGGGGGATGTGAGAAAACCTGGATTTATGCCTGAAATAGCCTGACTTGATTATGTAAAGAGTTGTCACTTTGGATGGGCTAGCACCAGCAGGAGAGTGAATTTGTGTGGGGGGGTGGAGGGTGAGAAAACCTGGATTTGTGCTGGAAATGGCCCACCTGTTGATCACTTTAGATAAGCTATTACCAGCAGGACAGTGGGGTGGGAGGAGGTATTGTTTCATATTCTCTGTGTGTATATAAAGTCTGCTGCAGTTTCCACGGTATGCATCTGATGAAGTGAGCTGTAGCTCACGAAAGCTCATGCTCAAATAAATTGGTTAGTCTCTAAGGTGCCACAAGTACTCCTTTACTTTTTTTAAGTTGCTGGCAAGAATACTGTGGGAGACCATATCAAAAGGTTTGGTAAAGTCAAGATATATCCTGTCCACTGCTTTCCCCATATCCACAGAGCCATTTATCTAATCATAGAAGGCAATTAGGTTAGTCAGGCATGACTTGCTCTTGGTGAATCCATGTTGACTGTTCCTGATCACCTTCCTCTCCTCCAAGCACTTCAAAATGGATTCTTTGAGGACTTCTCCATTATTTTTCTAGGGACTGAGGTAGGCTGACCTGTCTGTAGCTCCCTGGATTCTCCTTCTTCCCTTTTTTAAAGATGGGCACTATATTTGCCTTTCTCCAATCATCCGGGACCTCCCCCAATTGCCATGAGTTTTCGAAGATAATGGCCAATGGATCTACAATCACATCAGCCAACTCCCTCTGCACCCTCAGATGCATTAGATCTGGCCCCATGGACTGGTGCATGTCCAGTTTTTCTAAATAGTCCTTAACCTGGTCTTTCACCACTAAGGGCTGCTCACCTATTCCCCATGCTGTATTGCCTAGTGCAGCAGTCTGGGAGCTGACCTTGTCTGTGAAGACCAAGGCAAAAAAAATCATTGAGTACTTCAGCTTTTGCCACATCATCTGTCACTATGTTGCCTCCCCCATTCAGTAAGGGTCCCATGCTTTCCCTGAAATTCTTCTTGTTGCTAACATACCTGTAGAAACGCTTCTTGTTACCCTTCACATCCCTTGCTAGCTGCAACTCCAGTTGTGTTTTGGCTTTCCTGATTACACCCCTTCATGCTCCGAGCAATATTTATTTTTATACTCCTCCCTAGTCATCTTTCCAAGTTTCCACTTCTTGTAAGTTTCCTTTTTGTGTTTAAGCTCACTGAAGATTTCTCTGTTAAGCCAAGCTGGTCGCCTGCCATATTTGCTCTTCTTTCTGCACATTGGGATGGTTTGTTCCTGCACCCTCAATAAGAGCAATGCAATTAACTCCTGTATCTTACGTTCACCCCACTCCTATTAATACACCCCCAGTATATTAGCATTTTTTGCAACTCAGTTCAATTTGTGATCCACTGTAGCTCCTGCCCCCAATCCTTCTCAGCCCTGCTACCACCTCGCCAGGTATTCCCCATTTTGCAGGGTGGTTAAAAATCAATGATTTTTTAAAAAATAAATAAAAAAAATCAATTTTTTAACATTTAAATCGGATTTTTTTGATAAAAGTTTTTTCCTCAAAAAGCATATCTTAAGGTAGATACTTTATAGCTCAAAGATATCTCATCATGGAATAGGGATTATAAATTCTAATTCTATAGTATGAGACAATATAGTCATGGAATGTTTAAGGAAAGTTTTGTACATGAGTTCCAATAGTTCATGGATTAGGGACCCAATTTTATGGGGTTCCAGGGGCTTCTGTACAGATCATTTAGGTTAATCTTTCTATCTACTCAGTGGGACTCAGTGATCAGTCTCGACGATACCATCAGAGATGCTTCGTTTTGCAGTTCTCAAACTGTGGAGTTGTGTCTCCAGAGATAACATGCTTGTTAACGGCAAAAATGTTTTAACAGACCTCGCCCCTGTTGTCCCTCTGCAAATTTGTGTACACCGAGTCAATCCCCTACCTCTCTCTAAAAGTGCAAAGTTTCAAAAAGTTCAATGAATAGAAGATGGGTGGGGGCAGAATAGATCTGGACAAGGAGAAGAAGGCGGGAGATAACTGTGAGAAGGGAGGGACAGGCAGTAGAAACAAAAGTGAAACTGCTGCAGCCATAGTCCAGAAGGCACTTTTATGTAGAAAATCGAGGATTAAATCGAGTCTTCCGGACTAGTGATTTCAATTAAATCCACGCTGCCATTTTGTAATTGTGCTTCTCATTTTATTCCTTCCTAAGTGCAGCGCTTTTCACTTGCCTTTACTGAATTTCATCGTTCAGACCCATTGTCCAGTTTCTCAAGGACACTTTGAATTGCAACCCTCTCCGCCGGCAGGCCCGCAGCTCCCTCCTGTGCCCATTTTAGAAGTGTAGGCTCCCCCTAATTATCCAAGTCATTAATGAACACAGTGAACCGTCCCGCCCCAGGACAGACCCCCTGTGGGATCCCACCACCTCCTCCCAGTTTGGCAGCAAACCCACGGATCGCTACTCCTTGAGCCCGGTCCCGCAGCCTGCTGTGGAGATTGCACCTGGATCTCATCTCCCTAGGGTGCCTGCGAGCATATCAGGCGGGACGGTGCCCGCAGCCTGGCTGAAATCAAGTGTCAGGTCTTCTCCCCCACTTAAAAGCCCCAGGCGGGCGACCTTAAATCCCAGCTCAGAACAGCTGTAAAAGGGGGAAGTCACTGTCCCAGCCCCCCACGCTGCACCTGATCCTCCCTGGACACACACACACACACGGCTCCCTCCCTGGGCATGAGTCTCAGCCAGCGCAGGCGCAAGCTGCCTGCCCCCCCGGCAGCCCCTCCCCGTGGAGGCCGGGCGGCGCTGCTGCCTGGAGCCGGCACACGGCGTTGCAGCTGCAGAGCGGAGGCAACATCTGGCCGCTCCGCCGCTGACCGCGCCGCTTTCGGGACAAGCCCAGCCAGCAGGTGAGGGGCGCAGCGGGGGCGGGCCGGGCTCTGCTCTCGCAGGCTGCAGGGCCACCCGCTCTGGGCATCAGACCCAGGCACGGGCGCCCTGGCCATGCACCGGGCGCCCAGCTCGGCAAATGCACCGCCGCTGGGAAGTGGCGTGGAGCTGGAAGGGGCCGCTGCGGGAGCCAGCGTGTTGCCATTTGCATGGAGTGTCCCTCCCCCAGCCTAAAAATCCTCCTCCAGGTGCAGGGGCGGGGGTGCCTGGCTGCCTGGGGGGTGGGATATAGCCTGGAAGTGGTGGGAGGGGGATGTTTTCCCACCAAAGAGCCAGCGTTCAAGGGCAACGACTAGAGAAATGCGGAGTCTGGTGCCTGCCTGGCTCCGAGGGGGGAGGGGAGCATCCCCCCCCCCGTGTCTATTCTTCTGCGGCTGGTTGCGGGGTCTCCGGCTGGCTTTCCATGTGTTCCCAAGTTTGCGGCGTGCCTGTCAGGCCGCAGGAGCCGCAGAAGTGTTCTGCCTCCGCTCTGGGCTCGGGCAGGCTGGTGGGTGCTGGGTTAGGATCTTTCCTTGAACTCCCCGGTCCAAGGGCAGCTGGCTTCGCCTCAGGCCATGAGCCCCTTGGCAGAGCAAGAGCTCTTGGAGTAAGTGGCCTTGCTGGTGTTTGCCCAGGGATTTCATGTGCGCTCCTCCCTGCAGCCTGTGGGAGCCTTTTCCAAATTTAAACACCCTTTCCACTACCTATAGGAGGCAACAGCCATCGCCATGCCAGCCCCACCCAGCTCGAATGCTAAGGAGCTGATGCTTGGGGTAAAATGGCGAGGGGGAGCTGTTCTGGGTGACAAGGGGAGCGGTCCCAGAGCTGAGGGCCCTCTGCTGATGAGAATCCCCTGCCGCCAGAGGTCCCCAATTCAGGAACACTGCATAGCTAATTAAGCACCTAACTTTAGACACAGTATTCCCACTCAAGTCAACAGTGCTCGTGTGCTTCAGGTTAAGCATCTGCGTAGGTACGTTGCTGAACTGGGGCCGTAGCCTCCTGGGACCGTCTACACAGCAGAAACACCCCAAAAGGCAGGGAGTCTGAGGGCCCACCGTGGGGCTACAAATAGCAGTGCAGACGTTTGGACTTGGGCTGGAGCCCAGGCTCCGAGACCCTCCCCACTCGTTGGGTTTCCAGGCTGGGGCTGAAGCCCGAGCTTGGGCTCTGACACAGGCAGCAGCCGCTAGCAACAGGGGAACATTTTTGGCAAAAAAGCCTAATGTAGATACCCATCCAGAGACCCCCATGCACGGTCCTGTGTTAGGGCAACTATGGGTCCTGCTGCTGCCGCCTGCTCTGACCAGGGGTCTGATTCACGGAGTTGCTGAGCACCCCCACCTCCAGCTGAAGTCAGTGGGAGCTGCAGCCTGCAGTGTGAAGAAAAGGAGGACTTGTGGCACCTTAGAGACTAACCAATTTATTTGAGCATGAGCTTTCGTGAGCTACAGCTCACTTCATCAGATGCATACCGTGGAAACTGCAGCAGACTTTATATATACACAGAGAATATGAAACAATACCTCCTCCCACCCCACTGTCCTGCTGGTAATAGCTTATCTAAAGTGATCATCAGGTGGGCCATTTCCAGCACAAATCCAGGTTCTCTCACCCTCCACCCCCCCACACAAATTCACTCTCCTGCTGGTGCTAGCCCATCCAAAGTGACAACTCTTTACATAATCAAGTCGGGCAATTTCCTGCATAGATCCAGGTTTTCTCACATCCCCCCCACCCCCATACACACACAAACTCACTCTCCTGCTGGTAATAGCATTAGATGAGCTCTTACCAGCAGGAGAGTGAGTTTGTGTGTGTATGGGGGTGGGGGGGATGTGAGAAAACCTGGATCTATGCAGGAAATTGCCCGACTTGATTATGTAAAGAGTTGTCACTTTGGATGGGCTAGCACCAGCAGGAGAGTGAATTTGTGTGGGGGGGTGGAGGGTGAGAGAACCTGGATTTGTGCTGGAAATGGCCCACCTGATGATCACTTTAGATAAGCTATTACCAGCAGGACAGTGGGGTGGGAGGAGGTATTGTTTCATATTCTCTGTGTATATATAAAGTCTGCTGCAGTTTCCACGGTATGCATCTGATGAAGTGAGCTGTAGCTCACGAAAGCTCATGCTCAAATAAATTGGTTAGTCTCTAAGGTGCCACAAGTACTCCTTTTCTTTTTGCGAATACAGACTAACACGGCTGTTACTCTGAAACCAGCCTGCAGTGTGTGACACCTCTGAAAGTCAGGCCCCTGGTAGTTAAAATGCCCGCAACTACCAGCCCTGCTACTGCTGGTGAGCTGAGCCAGAGGGAAACTTTTGGTAAAGAAGCCTCAGATAGACTTCCCCTTAGACAGCTAGGAGCCAGGTACGCTGCCCGCTCTGTAGGGATCACAGGTGCAAATGCACACAACTAATTTACCTGCCTTGCATGTCCTGCAGGGTGTGGCTTACATGCTTGGCACTCAGATTTATCACCAAGAACAGAACTGCCTATTCGCTCCTCAGTGTTCTGAGCTTTGTGGTGAGGGAAAGTAAGCGGTTTGTTTGGGGATGGGGTGGGGGTGAATAATCGGACACGAACCAGAGGTAAAAGCAGGGCAGTGATCAGGAAACTTCCTGTTAAATTCTCTGGCTGCTTTTTCTTGCTGCATCTGTCTGGCTGGAGTAGGGAGGAGGACAGGGAAAGTGCTCGTGGACCACTCTGAAAAGAGGTATGTTTCTGGAAAGGGGCAGGGGTGTGTTTGTGTGTCGCCACATGGCTGAGCTGGTGTTTTATCTGGCAGGTGGCGGTGTTCCAGCTGCCCGATTTTTATTGCTACACAGTTGTGAAACCAATAGAGATTTCAGAGGGCCATGCTGTATGTGCTGGTGCTTGTTAGCATAGCAATCTTCCATGTGGCTGACTTTGTGCTTGAGTCAGCACAAGGCAATCCTCTCTCTAGGTAACCGATTACTCTGGCTGAAATCACATGCACAAGTAACATCACCTGCTGCGAGCGTCTACAGCCAGATCATCCCAGGATTGGACCCTTGGTGGTGGTCATGATGGAAGGTCAAAGACAAAAGAGCTGGCACAGCTAAGAACCAGGGACCCTGGCCAGATGTGTGTCTGTCCAGCTGCGTGGCAGATCCACAGAGAAAGGCCACTGGCTGCTGTTCACAGCTAATGAATTTAGTCTTTCTGCTTAAGCTGTAGAATCTGTGCTTTGAAGCTAAAGATTGAGGGTTTGATTCCTGTTGACGGCCCCTCCAGAGAGGTGATTATCCTTGGAAGAGGTGCAGGTGGTGTACTTTGTAGCACTCAGCTGAGCGGAAGGAGAATCTCCATTAGCTGTTAGCAGTACAGGGTCTATGACCCAACACTGAATAGTTATAAATATTTGTTGTAGAGGGCAGCAGTGTGCGTGCATGTGCATGGTTGCATGCACACACACAACAGTATATTACATGTTTGCTCTCTAGCTATGCACATATTACATGCATGCTTCTTGTTTGCTTGACTCGTAGGGTAATGGTTATTTCTGCATGCATTGGATGTCTTTTGAAACATGTGCTGTTTGTCCAGACTCCTTATCTCTGGCAGGAGAGAGTGGAGGAGTAGAGAACTTCCTAGCTGAAGAGCACAGCAGAGGTGAAACTGAAAATACAGGGCTGGGTTATTCTTGAGGTAGCTCTTGTTTCTCTGGATGGTGATGTAACAGGCCATTTTGGTGACTTGTGTGAGGAAAAAGAAAAGGAGTACTTGTGGCACCTTAGAGACTAACCAATTTATTTGAGCATAAGCTTTCATGAGCTACAGCTCACTTCGTCAGATGCATTCAGTGGAAAATACAGTGGGGAGATTTATATACATAGAGAACATGAAACAGTGGGTGTTACCATACACACCGTAACCAGAGTGATCACTTAAGGTGAGCTATTACCAGCAGGAGAGCAGGGTGGGGGAAAACCTTTTGTAGTGATAATCAAGGTGGGCCATTTCCAGCAGTTGACAAGAACGTCTGAGGAACAGTGGGGGGTGGTAAGGGGGAATAAACATGGGGAAATAGTTTTTACTTTGTTTAATGACCCATCCACTCCCAGTCTCTAGTCAAGCCTAAGTTAATTGTATCCAGTTTGCAAATTAATTCCAATTCAGCAGTCTCTCCTTGGAGTCTGTTTTTTGTTGAAGAATTGCCACTTTTAGGTCTGTAATTGAGTGACCAAAGAGATTGAAGTGTTTCCTCCGACTGGTTTTTCAATGTTATAATTCTTGACGTCTGATTTGTGTCCATTTATTCTTTTATGTAGAGACTGTCCAGTTTGACCAATGTACATGGCAGAGGGGCATTGCTGGCACATGATGGCATATATCACATTGGTAGATGTGCAGGTGAAGGAGCCTCTGATAGTGTGGCTGATGTGATTAGGCCCTGTGATGGTGTCCCCTGAATAGATATGTGGACACAGTTGGCAACGGGCTTTGTTGCAAGGATAGGTTCCTGGGTTAGTGGTTCTGTTGTGTGGTGTGTGGTTGCTGGTGAGGATTTGCTTCAGGTTGGGGGGCTGCCTGTAAGCAAGGACTGGCCTGTCCCCCAAGATCTGTGAGAGTGATGGGTCATCCTTCAGGATAGGTTGTAGATCCTTAATAATGCGTTGGAGGGGTTTTAGTTGGGGGCTGAAGGTGGTGGCTAGTGGCGTTCTGTTATTTTCTTTGTTGGGCCTGTCCTGTAGTAGGTGACTTCTGGGTACTCTTCTGGCTCGCTCTGTCACGTTCACCTGCACATCTACCAATGTGATATATGCCATCATGTGCCAGCAATGCCCCTCTGTATTTCTTGTGAGGTCCCTTTGCTAGATAAACCACTACCCTGCTGCTGCCCCAAATTATTTAGTCTGTACCTGGCTTTTACAGTAGCAAGCTCAGTCAGAGGCGCTATGATACCAGAATTGAATATGGAGTCCCTGAACTGCCCATCTATCTAAGGTTCTTA